TGTACTTACCGTCTATGACTCTGAACTCGATGTGGGCAACAAAGAAATCCTACAACCTTCAATAATTTTCCCTCTTTTTCGGCAAAAGGATATCAAAATGTCTGCAGACTGTAGCACACACGCTGACGAAGGGAGTTAGTGTGACAAGGGCTAGCGAACCTTTCAAGTGCCGGTATTGAGGAGGGCTCACGAAAAATTACTCTTATTAAAAATTTAACTACACGTGCTCCACAGGCTTTTATATACGCAGCGACTTGACTAGGTGGCTTTTCAAGAGTGTCGGCCTCATGGAATTCCGCTTGAGTGGACAATCACACAATATAAGAGATGGTGGGCAGGTCATTGCGTGTGAAAAAATGATCAATTTTCATCGTACCACCGCGAAAAGCTGACCAAAGTATCCTAAGAAATGGTACCAATCTAAAGGGATAAAGATTTCTTAGGGGTCTATTTATGTTTGCATCTGCGTGCACGGTACCACGAAATGCGATGTTTCACAGGAAATTTCTACTGAGCATCGTTGAAGAAGTGTATCATTGTCGTAGAGCAGATAACGATGGTGAGAGCAATAATAATAGTAATGATGATGCGGTTTAACGAAGATTAGGAGACTGTGTATGTGGTAAATAATTCGAATAGGTGTTACACGTAAAGAGAGGTATGGCTCGTATCTTACAATTTATACTATCCCACGCAGAAAAAAAAAATTCTGTGTTTTCCTGAGACGAAGTTAAGCTTTCAATTTAAAAAATTCGCTAATAATTTAAGTAACTTGTTTGTTTTATTTCGAAGATGTTGGAACAATAGCTGACCTTTCATAAGACGGTTGAACACTAATAATTTCCAATCGCTGCCTTCCAAGGAGAACTGGATTTTGCAAATTTCCTGACTGACGAATGGTCATGAGGTCCGCGATTGTAGCAACACGCCCAACAAAGTCGTCATAGAGGATGCGCCTTGAAAAGCTGGAAAGAAAGAGTGAGAAATAAAAAAACGTCAAAATTAAGAAGAAAGAGGCGGAACTTGGC